ATCGTGCGAGACAAGACACCTTCACGTGCCGCAAAACAAAGAACTCAAGACAAGCCCAGGCTTCCATAAGCTCTGGGGCAACGCACTCGCAATCGAGCCCGACTCGACTCTCCAAAAGATGATCCTCGTCCTCTGCGACGACCAAAATGTTGTTAGCACCCCAGACATCATATCTGGGCTGCAGATGTTTGACTAGAGCTGCGTACGCCAATGCCAGCGGCGCAGCTCAGCGAACTTTTGTTGTTACGACGGTGTGAGTACTGTTAAATACGGGGCTGTTTTTTTAAAAAGGTAGAGTGAACCCCCCAAAATATGTCGTTCATATCCACCACCGTGTCCTACGTCGCTTTCCGCCGCTGGTGCTCTGATTGTGTGGTTTACACCATGCCATCAGTGTGCTTGAGGGTCGGGGGCGCAGCGGAAGTGCGTTGGGCGGCGGGGCGGAGCGAGAAAAGGAGCGGTTTGTGTCGCGGTGTGATTTCTCAGCCAAGCTTTTCCCAGCCCTCAATCTGTGCCACTGCTACAGTCTGTTGCGGGTTCATCTTGTCCAACAGTAATCGGGCCGCAGTAGAGGGCGATTAGCCCCAGCACACTTGGGTACAAAAAACAAAAAAAACAACTCTTGCATGTCCAAACCGAGTGCTGAACTGTTTTATGCACTCGCTCAGCTTCCGGCTCCTCCTGCCCTACCAGCCATTGTCCCGATCTCCGATCTAAAGAATTATTTGATGTGGTGTGGCAGCCCGCTGCCACTGATCTGCTGCGACGAGGTTGCGTTGACCGTCACACCTTCTCGCGGCCGTACAGTCGCCGGCGAGACAGCGGCGTGTGGTCTGATGCACCGAGTGGCATGGACACATGGTCTACTCTCTCGGGCGGGGGTTGCAGGGCAGGGGAAAACAATTGCAGAGCGATGCTACCTTTTTAAAAAACAGCCCCATACAAATACACATCGGTTTGAAAAACAGAAGCCCCTGAGATCGCTGAATCAAGCCTTGCGGTCTCTACTACGGCAGCGGCTTCCAACAGCTCACCGGATGTGACCATCACAAGCACCACTCCGGCAAGCTCCACCACCAGTACTGATCTGTGAAGACATGGCAGTCAGGTGAAGCCCTTCGATGGGACGCTGTTGGATGTGGAACGATTTGTCATGGACATCCGACGCAAGCTTGAGTCAGCGACGGCACCCGAGAAGGACAAGGTCGACTTTGTGCTTGGTCATCTGGATGTCACAGCAAGGCGTTACTGTAGCCATGTCAAGTTCGAGACTGCCGAAGCTCTGCTGGAGTACATTATGAAGGTGTATGGCGTCAAGAACAGTAAGAATCACGCACTCAGGGAGATCATCCAAGCGGTGGCGGATCCAAAGATTTCAGCGAGGCACTTCAAGAACGTCATGCTGTTGAATGTGCCCAAAGCGGAACTTACGGATGATTTCGTGAGGCGCTTCATTGTGCTTCACGCGGAAGACAAAGGCGTGCGGGATGTGGTGAAGGCGCTGTGCAAGGACACCACCGAGATGACGTGGATTGATGCTCTGAACGAGTTGGTCCTGAGCATGCTGAGCAAGGCACAAGCGGAGGCCAGCTCCAGTAGTCAAGCTCCCCGGCACGACCAAAAGCCGAATCGAGACAAGAACAGTCATCACGCAGGCAAGAGCAAGGACAAGGACGTCAAGCGCTG